AAATACGTGGTGGGCCAACTGGACAGTGGTTGTGGATGTTACTAAGGCAGTGAACCATCCTTGCAATAGTAGTAGCTGTGGTGGTGGATGGTGTGAACCACCTCCGCGAAAGCTGTGCAAGGCTTTGTGGCAGTGGTGCAAGGTCTTGCCTTCTGTTTGGGCTAGGCAGGGGGCTGGCCAGATCTCCTGCCTGCCTGCCTGGGACCTCGCCCGTTGGCAGCGGCGCAGCACAGGCTCTTCTGTGTGTGTTTCAGAATGGGCTTTCAAGAAATTGGCATTTGTCCCTTACAACAAATACTCACAAGAAGCCTGTGTTCTAATCTCCCCAGGCCAACTAAAGCATGTTTGAGACCTGCACTAACTGCTCAGGGGATGGTCTCCTTAAGTTTCCCAATTGATACGGTCTCTGGACTAAGTCAAAACAAACATCAAGACTATGCAGACATTCTTCAAGGGTAGGCAGCCCCAGGAAAGGGGAGGGTGATAGGGAAGGGTGGGCACCTCCGGGCAATAGCCCAGCTGCCCAGGGCACCTCAGTCAAAGGGTGGGAGCACTGGGCACAGAGGGAGGAGTCCCTAAGAACAGGATGGAGTCACCTGCAACCTCCACACACCACTTTAGGGCACATGGGGCAGCTCACTACAGTCAACCTAACTCTGTGGGTATGCAAAAGCTTGAACAGCAATGGTCGTGTTCACAATAGCCCAAAATTGGAAACAACTTAAACGTTAAACCAATGAACAGATAAACAAAATGGGGAATATCCTTGCAATGGAGTAGTAGTTCATAAAAAGTAGTGAAGTACGGATACAAGCTACAACACAGATGAATCTGGAAAACACTGTGCCCAATGAAAGAAGCCAGTCAAAAAGGCCACATACTGGGGCCGGCCCAGTGGCGCACTGGATAAGTGCGCCGCTTGGGAAGCGCGGCGGCGCTCCCGCCTGAGGGTTCGGATCCCACATGCAGACCAGCTCCCGCTCAGCAGCGAGGCGCGGGAGCGGCACCGAGGGTTGCGGTCCCGTTGCCGGTCCCCGGTCCGGTACGGGAAACCGAGGGTTGCGATCCCGTTGCCGGTCCCCGGTACGGGCGCGAAACCGAGGGTTGCGATCCCATTACCGGTCAGTAAAAAAAGACAAAAAGGAAAAAAAA